GGGGGGGGGGAGGGCGCTGGGAGTCGCCGCGGGGGGAGAGGGAGGCCGAGTTCGTGAGGGGGGACCGGAGGGTGTGGAGGAGGCTGCAAGGACGGGTTCGATCTCGCCGCCCCCGCCTCCCCCGAAGGGCTTGAACAGCCGGGCTAAGATTAACTTGCAGCTGAGCAGAGGAGTCCGTGCCACACATGGAGAAGGGCGGTTAAGCAGCTTCCTTGCGGTTCCTCCGGCAGCAAACTCCGGAAAACCCACTCCGGACTGCGCCGGGCCGCCCCAGCCCTCCCCTCCCTTCCTCCTCCCTTCCTCCCCCCCACGAAGGACTCGCCCGTCGCCAGTCCGAGGCGACCCACGGCCTCTCCAGCCCACTCCTGCCTCTGGCCTGTCTTCTGCTGCAGTCCTGCACAGGGGTCTTTTTTTTTTAAAAAAACCAAACAACGTTAAACTTTATGGAGTTTTAATTTAAGAAATAAATAAATAACGAGAGCTTGCTTGACTTGTCGGGCCCGGCCGCGCGCGTCCATCTTTCTTGCCGCGGGCTGGGCTGACTCTCGAATGCCCGGGGCGCGTTCCGCATTTGTAAAAGGAACCAGACGCATCTGCGCCTCTGGCGCGCTCGCGCGGGCTCGCTCGCTCTCTGCCCCCTCCTCCCCCCCCCCGGCCGATCGGCGGCGAGATTGTCGGGTATACTCGGCTCCCTGTCTGGGCCGGATCTGGCTCCTCTGGGCTCCAGGCGAGGAGAAGGGGCTCTCCCTTTGAACTCTCCAGCCCGCCGACTCGCGCGTCCCCCCAGCCCCTGGAGGAGCCTCCGCTACGCTAGGCCGGGGAAGTGCGCGGCCCTGCCCTCCGGGAGGGAGGGAGAGGGGGAGAGCCGGAGCGCGCCCTTCTGGCGAGACAAGACCGCCAAACCGAGGAAGCCCGGGCGGGACCGTTCGTGGGTCGGCCTGTCTCAGAACACCGCGGTCGGAGCCTCGCCCGGCCTCTCTCCTCCTCTGTAAAACTGTGGGGTGAAAAGTAGGACTTCATAGCGGAGGAGGCAGCCAGACGCTAGCTTAGCCTGCCCTCCAGCAGGCCCCCTGGTCGGATACCACCAGCCCGCAGCTTACCCGGCCAGTCTCCCTCCCCTCCCCGTGTTGCTGTGTGTCTCCGGCGGGGCCTGAGCCGCTGGCCTGGGGACGGGGTTGGCCAACGGACCGGTCGGGGCCAGGCTGGTTCCCTCGCGGCCTACTGGGCCCCGCCGCGATCCCGGGTCTGGGCTCGGCGTCCTCCGGCCCCGGTCTGACCTTCCTCTCTCTGTCCTTTTGCTTCCAGAGAAAGAGGTGGCTGAGCCGGAGGTGAGGATGGTGAACGGCAAACCAAAGAAAGTGCGCAAACCAAGGACTATTTACTCCAGTTTTCAGCTGGCGGCCTTGCAAAGGAGGTTCCAGAAGACTCAGTATTTAGCCCTGCCCGAAAGAGCCGAGCTGGCGGCGTCGTTGGGCCTGACCCAGACACAGGTAAGGGAACTCCCAGGAGCAGGGCCTGGTTCTGCCGCCGCCCGCGGGTCCTTCCCCTCCCGGCACAGGTGGTTCTTCTTCTCTCCTCTTTGTCTCCGGCGTTTGTCTCTAAAGGCAGGAAGAGGGCCCAGGGCTCGGCTTGCCTCCTTCCTGGGGCTTTTGCTTTTGTCTCGCCGAACCCAGTCCCATCTTCTCGAGAGGAGGGGGGTGGTGGTGTGGATTTTGGACCTAAATTTGTTTCGGGTTTTTCGACGCGGCTCGTTGCAGATCCGCAAGGCCTTCTCCTGCGATTGGGGTCAGGGTGAAAGTTGGCCGTCACGAGGCTTTGGGCGCCGCTTTCCTGCCACGTAAAATACTCGAGAAATGCTGGGCTAGCGCCACGCCGGTCCTCTACCAAGGGTTTACTGGCAGGGTCTTGTGGTGTTGTTGTTTGTTTGTTTGTTTGTTAAAAAAACCACGTCGCTTTGTTTTGCTTCAGGCTCCTCGATCTTGTTGCTGGGGAGGGGGGGCTGCGCGTCTGGGCCGCGCTTGCGGGGGGGGGGATTTTCAGTTCATGGGAGCCCCCCCGCTCTCTGGGGTGAATGGCGTTACCACGGAACTGGGGCCCTGGCTGGCGTTAGCCGGGGCTGGGGCGGGCGGTGAGCAAAGCACGCTTAGAGAGCCGGATCCGCTCCTTTCCCCATGGAGCGTTGGCACCCGGCGGTGTTGCGACGGCTCCTCTCTCGCGCCTGTCTTTGTGCCATGGAACCACCGAGCTGGGCAGCTTCGGCAGACCAGGCCTCATAGCCCCAAAACAGGTTTTTTTAAAAATAAAAAAAAATGTGCATGAGCAAGGCCAGGATCCTGCTCTTCTAACATCTGGTGGCGCAAGAGAGACTGTTGACAGACTGGCCTGTCCGGAGAAGACGGCTGCTTTCCCTCTGGAGAGCGACTCCGTCTCCGGAGAGAGCCAAATTAATCCGTCGACATCCTCCTCGACGTCGGTGAAGCCTATTTCGGCTCTACCACGGCGGCGTCCGAGGGCTGCGTGCGGCCCGGAGTCTTGCTTTGGTCGGGGGAGGGCAACCGGGCCCGTTGATTCGCACGGAGCTTCCAGCCGGGCCGCCGCCCTCCGCCTCCCCGAGAGTCAGACGACTCGGATCGGGGCAGGGGAGGGTCAGAGCCGCCGGTGATGGCCAGGGCCGTGTCCTTCGGAAGTCAGCGGGCCCAGGGCCGAAGTGTGGCTTGGGTGCGCGTCTACGGTAGCTTGTCGCTTGACGCCGAGCCTTGACGTCCTCTCGGGCCGGTTCCTCCCTTGACTTCTGTCCCCTCTTCCTCCTCTAGGTGAAGATCTGGTTCCAGAACAAGAGGTCCAAGATCAAGAAGATCATGAAGAACGGCGAGATGCCCCCGGAGCACAGCCCCAGCGCCAGCGACCCCATGGCCTGCAACTCCCCCCAGTCCCCGGCCGTGTGGGAACCGCAGGGCACCGCCCGGTCCCTCAGCCACCTCCCGCACGCCTCCAACCCGTCGCCTGCCTCCGCCTACCTGGAGAACTCCTCGTCCTGGTACCCCAGCGGGAACTCCCTCAACGGCCACCTGCCGCCGCACGGCTCTCTACAGCACCCCTTAGCCCTGGCCGCGGGGACGATCTACTAGGCCAGGACCGGCTCGCCTTCAGACCCGCCGCCCCCTTTCCTTCCTTCTTTCCTTCCTTCCTTCCTTCCAGGCAGCGTTTTATTGATAAGTGGAAAGGGGGGGAAATGCGAAAGGGGATTTTTGTTGATGTTTTTTGTTTTTCTTTTTTATTTTTTGGAAGGGAAAGGAAATTCTTCATGACGAAATGTGTAAAGCTTGTGCATGTAACTTATTGCATTTCAAAGGAAACTTCCCCCACCCCCCTCTTTTTTAAAGAAAAAAAAAACACAGACGGACTCTTTGGGTTGTTTCATCACCTGTGGACACTTTCAAAGGTGCCTTGAAATCTTATGACCTCAATTTTTTTCCAGAGACTTTTTTTCAATGTCATTTTAACCCTGTAAATAACTGTAGATAGAGGAATTAAACTGTATATTCTGAATAAATAAAATTATTTCCATCATGAGAACAGGGGGAAAAAACACAAAAGACATGTTAGCCAATATTTCTTTCCTCCGCTTGCTAAGGGGAGTAGTCCGGGAGAAGGGGTGCAGGATCTCTCCCCCCCTGCCCTGTTGTTGTTGCGGGTACTCATTTTTGTTCGGATTTGTCTTTCTGTTGTTGTTTTCCCCTCCCTCTGTCCAGTAGGCCCTGCTGGCCTGAAGCTGCACCCACTCGCAGGTTAAAACACGCCCTCCCTCCCTCCCCCATTAAAACTCCGGGCAGGCGGCTCCTTTCAGCTCCTTCACAAAAGCCAGAGAGCCCCTTGAAGCGAAATGGCCTCGAATGGAGAGACGCGGGCTGTGGGGAGAACCTGCCCCCGAGTAACCCAGCGATGCCTCTTTCTCGCTCTCTCCTCTCGACCATAAAAGCAACCGCCCGAAAGAAAGCCGGCTTCCCATCAGCTAATTGTACAAATTGCATTTCCTTCCAAAGGACAGGACAGGACAAGGAGCCAAAATGGAGCTCTTCCCCCCCCCCTCTCCTTGGTCTGCGTTGGAGACAAAGGCCATCGGGCAAAACAGCGGCCGTTTGTGAGCTCTCAGCCTTTTCTTTAAAAAGTAGATCGGTGCAGACCTTTTCCTCCCTCTGCTCTCGGAGAAGGCCCGAGACTGGGGAGAGGCCCCGGGGCGGCCACCTGATCGAGGGGTCCTTCCCACTGGGGTGTCCTTCCCGAGCACACCCGGTGAGCAAGGCGCAGTTTCCATTCCTGGACTCTTTTTTTACGCAGAACATTTTTAAAAAAACAAAAACTCCGACCCTGAGTAAGTGGCCTGTCTTTAATCACGTCGGGGCCCGATCCAGAAAGGTTGCAAATAACCTACAGGAAGATCCATCCGGGTACCCCCCCCCCTCTTCCGAATTCTACCCGCCTTCCCTTTAAAATCTGCTTTAGAAACCGGTCGGTGTGTTATCCGGTGGTAAAACGGCAGCAGTAAATGCGCGGGGGGGGGGAGGGGGGATTAGAACAGTGAAAAAAATTGCATCCTGCCATCTGAGGATTTCAATAAGAGCCGTTCCAGGGTTGGGAGACAAGACCTGAAAAGGCACGCTTTGTAGCCCGGAGCCAAGTTACCTGTCTCTCGACTCTCGCCCTGCTCCTCTCCTCTCCTCTCCCCTCCCCCGCCCCCTTTCTTTCAGGCCTTTTTTTTTTTTAAACCATTCTATTTTTCAGTTCAGCACAGCCAAGCAAGGGTGCCGTGAAACAGGTCTGGGAGAGCAGCAGTCGGTTTTAGAACAACAGGACGGGATCTTGGTTTTTGTGGCGTTTCCCTGGATTTCAGGCGGGCGCGCGAGCGCAGGCGCGTGCCCGCGGAGGCAGGCCTACCTAAGACGCCTGGCTCCATTGTTCTTGGATCCCAGCGGCTGAGCGTTCCCTTTCGGTGGGGGAGGGGGGAGATGCGAGGTAAACTGTTCACAGACACACTCCCTGCTTTACTGCTGTTTTCTTCTGTCCATATTTAGCAGAAGCGGTGCATCTTAGGAAGGATCTGAGGTGTAAAACACGAGGAAATGTCCCCGGGCCTAAAACGACCCACACCCCCCCAATAAGGGTGTTATAGGAGTGGTGGGATCTTTCTTCCTCTCGCTCGCTGCCTTTCCCTCCATGTTCCCTTGTGTGATGATGATGATGATAAACTCGAGTAGGAAGCATCTTTTTCGTGTTCTGCTCAGCGCGATGGACGAATGGAGGCAGCAGAAAGGGTGGGGGTGTGCTTAGAAAAACTCGAGAAGGCCTCCTCTTGCGGAGGGAAAGGATTGGTGTCGCGTAACCGGGGGGGGGAGGGCTCTTTGGGCCTGATCGACCGGGCCCTTGAGGCTCGTTTTGGTTCTGTTCTGCCAGCGAAGGCGAACCGCCCCTTCTCCAGCCAGGCCTTAACATATGTACAGGAGCAAGGGCCCCTTCCCCAGGATCTCAAAAGTCCTCGCTCTGCCCGCCCGCCCCCCAGTCTACAAAGGGTGCTAGGCCCATAGGATCGGGTCCTCTGCTCCTTAACTGCTTTCGATGCCATCATTAAAGTGGGGATTGTCTCGAAGAAAGGGAATGCTTCCCCTTGTCTGATCCTGGAAGCGCTCAAATAAGAGGCGCGGTCTGCATCAGGAGTCCCGCATGGTTTCTGCGGGCACAGAGGGAGAGAGTGGCAGGGTACCACCCCAGAGTGAGAGTGCGTGTGTGTGTTGCTGAGCATGCCCCTCTAGACGACTCCACCACCCCTGGATTACCAAAACCCGGCAAGGACACATTTTTTTTGTCTTGGGGGGGGGGTCATTTGATTGTGCCCTCCCTCCCTGAGCAGCAGACAGGAGACGCAGCAGTGCTCTGTACGTGGTGGACTCGGCTTTCCCCAAGTTTTCTTCCCCTCCCTCCCTGCCTCCCTCCCTGCCTGCCTGCCTGCCTGGCGTCGCTTCCAAGTGAAGCTGGGGCGGCCGCGGGGAGAAGGGAGCCGAGAGGAGACGCATTCCTGTGGGTGCCGAGCGGCTCCAGAGCCGAGCCACAGGGCCTTCGCGGAGGACACAGACCGGGGACGAGAGGAGCCCACAAACTTCGCCGGCCTTGATCTGGCTCTTCTGGCCGGGAGCTCCACCCCGGGGCT